ATAAGTTAACATGCGCTATTAAGCTAAGACGGGGAATATGTAGGAGAAATGATTTTGAGGAGATATGGAAAGTATTTGTGGAATTTGTACTGTTAAAACAGAAAGGGGTCAAACCATTGCAAGAGGTGTAGAAATTTTGGGTGGTTGGATAATTACAATGGAATGGTCTCAGGTGCAGGGTGCACATTTTTTATTTATTTCTTATTATTACTTAAAAATAAGAAAAAATAAATAAAATAAAAAATAAATCAGTGATCTCTCCTCTAGAAGGAAGGCAGACTTAGAAAGGGCCAGTGGATAGTTAATGGTTTATTTATTTTAAAGCGTTTATTAATTTTCCAATAAAAACATCCAATTAACATTTCAAATCAAATCCAAAAAACTAAAAAACTAAAATAAAAAAAGTCCAATTGTTTTCCAAATTGTAATAATTTTTGTTTTGGCTTCCCACGGTCTGAATTCTGAAGCGCTTTCAACATCATAGTCCTGCCACTCTTCATCCTCAATGTTTTTCATAATTCCATATCCAATCTTTATCCTCCACGTTTTGACTCTGGTTCTGAGATCCTCATTCACGTCAGAAAACAGATACTTTTTTTCCTATGGAGTGCAGATTTGTCTGTATACTGTACTCTTTCAGCTGTTTTTGTTTTTTCATCGCACCGCTTCATTTAATTGCATCCAATTTCAAAGTTCTGTCCAGCTCTTTGAGAATTGTTATTTCGGCAGCTCCCAAATTGTTGATCTTTCCCATCCAGGTGTTATCAAAGAAACAGAGATAAACCTCCTTCTGAAACCTCCTTGTTGATTTATTCTTAAACAGACTGTTTGCAATGTAGTCATATATCAGACAGTTAACAATTGGCCTTTGGAATCCACCCAATCTCCCCTCTGGGCCCTAGAGGGGGGCTGCCAGACATCCATTTAGCCCTCTCTCTCGCTCATAATAAAAAAAAAATCTTTTTGCAAACAGTTGTATATATAATTTTGTTTCCAGTCTTTATGACCAACCATCAGTTAGCTCCTGTTTCTCTTAATCAGGGAAGTATTTCAGATATTCCATAAGTGTGTGGTGGGTAGAAGCCATTTTGTCCTTTGTTTGTTTGTTTTCGTCTTTAACAGGCATTTCAAATCTTAGAAGAAAAGTGGCTGCAAGTAGGTCCCAGTTATATATGAAAGTCCATCTGTACTCACTTTTTGAAGAGCAATTTAGGTTCTTAATGAGGCTTGGCATGCATTACAGATTGTTAATGTTACAGGAAGAAGAAGAAAAAACCCATACGAAGTCCCTCCAGATTCCAAACATCATGATGAGGATCTCTTTGAAGTTCGATCTTTTGCACCAGAGACTGTACATGCTGCAGGTTTTTCCCCAGCTTCGTCAGTTCAGAGCGTGTCTGTTTGTTTTCCAAATCCTTATATTTTCCCAAACAGATGCGTCCGGCTATGAGGTGGCATCGCAGGAGTGTCAGTCCGTCCCTTGCTCCGTGACCCAGTGCCCCTGCCGTCTGCCACATCGGCAATCTAGGGCAAACCGCGGGTCACCGAGACCGTCCTCCCCTGCCCTGGGGAGGCTGCCAGGGCTAATTACCCCCATATCAGCCCTGAATTATCGGAACGGCTGAGGTCCGATCGTGTGGGATCTGCCATTTTCCACTGCCGGAAACAGGAAGCTGATAGTAGCAGGAGTAGCAGGGGCAGGAAGTTCAGTGAACCCAGCAAAGTTTGTGGGCCTGAACAGGTTTCCAACAATGCCTATGTACCGTGGCACAACCAAAGGGTATTGCATATGTGCATCATTCTAATCTCTCTAGTGGAACCAGTATCCAGAAAGAGCCTACCACCCCGCAATCCAGCAATTCAGAAATAAAAAGAAAGCAGAGGGTTGGGGAAAAGAGATGAGGACCATCCACAGAGAGGTGGTACGCTTTGATAGGAGGTGGGCATACTGCCCACTCCTACTGAGTAGGTGGCGTAGTCAAAGCATGCCAGGGACTTGTTCCACAGTGCTGACTTTCACCTAAAGAAAGGAGGCAGTGATTCTATTAGATTGCCATCAAATTGCCATTTGTGCTTAACTGCTTGTCAAATACCATCATTTGGTCTTGGCATAATCGGCACATAACGTTTCTTTATTACATACTTCCCCAAACAATTTCAACCATCTCCTTATGCAATTTAAGGTCTGGGATAACGGGAGCATGTCATCTGCTTATAGCAGCATATTATTTTAGCAAGTTGGTCAATGGTGTTATTTACATATACAGTGGTACCTTGGGTTACAAACACCTTGGGTTACAAACACTTCGGGTTACAGACTCCGCTAACCCGGAAGTAGTACCTCGGGTTAAGAACTTTACCTCAGTCTCCAGTTTTCTCCATAAAAAGTCTTCTTTTCTGTCAACGGCTAAGGTCGAGTCAATGAAGGTGAGCGATGAGAGAAGAAGGGAGGGAGGGAAGGAGAGCAGATGTATGCCATTTGGTTATTCATCCTGAGCCAAACACCATTCACAGAAATGACTCCTGAGTGAATGGATGGCAATTTGTTTGGTTCTCTTCATGTCTTCCTCCTCTCCCATCCTACCCTTCTGTTTCAATTCCATTAACCTACTAAGTGGGGCACAAACAGGTACAAAGCAAAAGTAGTTCTGGGGTGGTTGCAGCATGAGACAATGGAGTTGTGTGGGGAGTGAGGGGGGAAGCAGGTGTGTGCCCGTGATTGACACTGCAACCCTCAGCTCAGGCATATAATTTTTCTAGCCAAAGTGTCTGTCAATCTGATAGATCCTAATATACTTACAAAAGATATAGAAGTGAGGCATACAAAACCCACCAAGGTCTCTATCACTATCCACATATTTTTATCTGAATGCAGAGCTACAAAAGAGTGTCAACAGTTCATGAGAAGGATTCAGAGAGCTGTAGATATAGGGTGGTATATGATTTCAATAAATAAATAAAAATTATAATTATAAATGTATTTATTCAGCTACTGCTATATTGCAGGCAAACAGTGTCAAAAGATGGAGGAGACCCAGTGAAGTATTGATGTACTTTGTAAAAAAATCATTTAAAAATGATCGTTTATACATCTCCAGTGTCAAAGACCAAGGTAAAGAGGTGTGTCTTCAGCATTCACCAAAAGCCATATAATGATGGTGCAAGACTCACACCTGTGAGGAGGGAGTGCCACAGCTTATGGACAGTCCAAGAGAATGCCATCTCCAAATCCATTATCCATCAAGCTTTTTTTTTTTTTTTTAAATAAATGATATTTATTAAAGATACATGACAGTACAGAATAAAGAAAAAGTATAAAGTTTTAAGATATAACAAAAACAGTAAAAAATAAGAAAAAACAACAACATACAAAATAAAACAGTTAAAAACACAATAATGTTCCATAACCTATCTTCCTTACTCTTATTTCCCCGGACCTCCTCATACCTCCCTTCTTTGTATTCCAATTCAATTTGTTGGTTCAGCAAATCCTTACCATTAATCTTTTACCCAATTGTTAACCTTTTTTTCCATGTCTCTTAAAGCATTACAGCTAAAAACCTCTTAGTTTCTATCCAACATCCTTCTAAAGTTCCTTAATTTTGCAATATTTCTGTAAATAGTCCTTAAATTTCTTCCAGTCTTCTTTCACCGACTCTTCTCCCTGGTCTCGGATTCTGCCAGTCATTTCCGCCAGTTCCATGTAGTCAATCACCTTCATCTGCCATTCTTCCAAAGTGGGTAGATCTTGTGTCTTCCAATACTTTGCGATAAGTATTCTTGCTGCTGTTGTAGCATACATGAAAAAGGTTCTGTCCTTCTTTGGCACCAGTTGGCCGACAATGCCCAAGAGAAAGGCCTCTGGTTTCTTCAGAAAGGTATATTTAAATACCTTTTTCAGTTCATTATATATCATTTCCCAGAAAGCCTTAATCTTTGGGCACGTCCACCAAAGGTGAAAGAATGTACCTTCAGTTTCTTTACATTTCCAACATTTATTATCGGGCAAATGATAAATTTTTGCAAGCTTGACTGGGGTCATGTACCACCTGTATATCATTTTCATAATATTCTCTCTTAAGGCATTACATGCCGTAAACTTCATACCTGTGGTCCATAACTGTTCCCAGTCAGCAAACATAATATTATGGCCAACATCTTGTGCCCATTTAATCATAGCAGATTTCACCGTTTCATCCTGAGTATTCCATTTCAACAGCAAGTTATACATTCTTGACAAATTTTTAGTTTTGGGTTCTAACAATTCTGTTTCTAATTTTGACTTTTCCTCTTGGAAGCCTATTTTCTTATCCAAATTATATGCCTCCATTATCTGATAGTAGTGGAGCCAATCTCTCACTTTATTTTTAATTTTTCAAAACTCTGCAATCTCAATTTATCTCCTTCTTGCTCCAAAATTTCCCAATATGTCGGCCATTTGGCCTCCATATTGAGCCTTTTCAGAGCTTTTGCTTCCATTGGTGACAGCCACCTTGGGGTTTTATTTTCCAATAAGTCTTTGTATCTTATCCAGACATTAAACAATGCTTTCCTAACAATATGATTTTTGAATGCTTTGTGTGCTTTGACCTTATCATACCATAAATATGCATGCCATCCAAATACATTGTTAAAACCTTCTAAATCCAAAATGTCTGTGTTTTCAAGAAGTAGCCATTCTTTCAGCCAGCAAAAAGCTGCTGATTCATAATAAAGTTTAAGGTCTGGCAGGGCAAATCCACCTCTTTCCTTGGCGTCAGTTAATATCTTAAATTTTATTCTGGGCTTCTTGCCCTGCCAGACAAATCTAGAAATATCTCTCTGCCACTTCTTGAAACAGTCCATCTTATCTACAATTTGTAATGTCTGAAACAAAAACAACATTCTAGGCAATACATTCATCTTTATCACAGCAATACGGCCCAGCAACGAGAGTTTCAAATTTGACCAAATTTCTAAATCTTTTTCACTTCCGTCCAACATTTTTCGTAATTATCTTTAAATAAGTTCCCATTTTTGGCTGTCATATTAATCCCCAAGTATTTCACTTTCTTTACCACATTCAATCCTGTCTCATTCTGAAACCTCTCTCTTTCAATCGGTGTTAAGTTTTTCTCTAAAACCTTAGTTTTTAACTTGTTCAATTTAAAACCTGCCACCTGACCAAATTCCTGAATTAATTCTAAAACTCTTTTAGTACTAGATTCTGGCTCCTGTAACGTCAATACTAGGTCATCTGCAAATGCTCTCAATTTGTACTGTTTAGCTCCGACCTGTATGCCCTTAACCAACCGGTCCTTTCTAATCATATTTAGCAAAACCTCCAGGACCGATATAAAAAGCAGTGGGGAAATTGGGCACCCCTGTCGTGTCCCTTTTTCTATCTTAAATTCTTCCGTAACCACATTATTTACAATTAATTTAGCCTTTTGTTCAGAGTATATTGCACCTATACCATTTTCAAAACCTTGGCCTACCCCCATCCCATGCAGATTCTTCTTCATAAAACTCCAAGAGATATTATCAAAAGCTTTCTCCGCGTCAACAAATATCAATACTGCTTTGGTGTTTATATTCACTTCTAATTTTTCCAAAATATCAATTATATTCCTCAAATTATCAGACAGGTGTCTTCCCGGGAGAAAGCCCGCTTGGTCTTTATGAATCTCTTTCATCAATATTTTTTCAATCTCTTGGCCAAAATGTCTGCAAAAATTTTGTAATCCACATTAAGTAACGATATAGGGCGATAGTTCTTAAGCTGAGTCTTTTCAGTCTCTGTTTTCGGTATAAGTGTGATATACGCCTCTTTCCACGATTCTGGTGCCCTTTTCCCCTCCAATATTTCATTGCAGACTTCCTTCAAAGGTTGCAGTAACCACTCTTTCAAAGATCTATAGTATCTGGAAGTCAGCCCATCCGGTCCTGGAGATTTGCCCAATTGCATATTTTGTATGGCACCTTCTACTTCCTGTTCAGATATTTTATAGTTCAGCATTAATTTACTTTCTTGAGAGATTTTTGTAGGCCATTTGTCTTCAAAAATTGGTCTATGTCCATTTCCTTCTGTGGCCCTTGTGTGTATAATTGTTTAAAGTACTTCTGGAAGCAATTTCTAATCTCATTTGGATTATGTATACTCTTTCCTTCCACTTCTAAATTTATAATAGTATTTAATTTTTGTCTTTTTTTCATTTGCCAGGCCAACAGTTTTCCACATTTATTAGCTGATTCAAATGTTTTTGTCTCATTTGTTTGATTTTCCATTCTATTTCCTGATTCATCATTTCCATATATTGTACTTGATATAATTTTATTTCTCTCAAAATCTCCTGGGACTTTGGTTTTGCTCTCAATTTCTTCTCTCCTTCTTTTATTTTTTCCAAGATTTTATCTTTCTTTTCATTTTGACTTCTCTTCTTTATTGCATTCTGTTGTATCAAAAACCCTCTCATCACAGCTTTGCTTGCGTCCCAGATTACTCTTTTTTCTACATTGGTATTCATATTTATTTCAAAATAATCTCTCAAAGTCTTTTGGGCCTTTTTGTAAACTTCTTCATCTCTAAATAAGGTGTCATTCATCCTCCATCTAAAGGATCCGGTTGTTGTTTGTTTCATCTCCATCCTTACAGCATTATGGTCGGAACAAGTTTTTGGGCAGATTTCTACCTTCTTTATCTTTGGTGCCATTCCTCTAGTTATCCATATTTGGTCAATTCTAGTCCATGTCATCTTGGCTTCAGAAAAAAAGGTTCCTTCTCTTCCCAGGGGGTTCTTTACCCTCCAGATGTCCACTAAGTCCATATTGTCTGTCATCTCAAAAAAATGTTTTCGGTAGTCTACCATCCTTGGTGACTACCTGTCTTTGAGCCTTGTCCATATTTGTAGATACTACTCCATTCATGTCCCCCATCAAAATCAAATTATAGTCCAAATGATCCAATAAAGTCTCATGCAACTTTTTATAGAATTCAGATTTCCCCTCGTTCGGTGCATAAATTCCCACGATTAAGAATTTCTCTCCTTGTAGTTGAATTTCAATTGCCAAAAATCTTCCTTGATCATCTTTAAAGATAAGTTTCGGTAAGAGTCTCTCCTTTGCATAAATCACAACTCCTCTTTTTTTAACTTTGTCAGATGAGACAAACTCCTGTCCTAATCTTTTATTAATCAATAACTTCCTATGTGCCCTTGTTATATGTGTCTCTTGTAGACAAATCAAGTCCAATTGTTCTTTTTTAATAAATGAAACACACTTTTTCTTTTTCGAGGAGAATTCAAACCGTTACAATTCCAGCTTAATAGTTGCAGAGCCATGGTGGGGGCTACTTCACTTTACCTCCAACTGCCCCAAGTGCCGCTTCTTGTTCTGTGGGTAGTATCACTTTTTCTGGACCGTGCAGTCCAAAAGATAAATTTGATATGTCTAGTATGCCTTTTGGTTCTTCTTCAGATTCCCCTTCTTTCAGTAGATCTTCCTCGTGATCTTTCAAGAATCTGTCTTTTTCCTCAGTTGATTTTATTTTTATCTTTCTCCCTTTATATTTGAAGGACAGGCCTTGCGGAAATTCCCACCTGAAAAGAATTCTGTTTCTTTTCAATAAGGTCACTAGGTCTCCGTAATTGGACCTTAAGTCCAGCAAATGCTTTGGGATGTCCTTAAAAATCACTAGTCTTGAGTCATCAATTTCCAAAGTTTTTTGATAGTGCAAATTCAGAATTTTATCTCTCTCTTCTTTTGTTCGAAAGGTAATCAAACAGTCTCTCACCTTGCCCTTGCCTTGTCTTCTTCCGAGCCTAAATGCATTCACTATCTTAAATTCTTCCTTCCCCGGGTCCAATTGCCAAAAATCTGTAAATTCCTGTGTAAGAAAATCAACCAAATTATCTTTCTCCCGCTCTGGAACAGCCCTAATTCTCAGATTTCTCTGTCTATCTTTTAATTCAAACATAGAAAATGTCACATCATGGTCCTCCAATTTCTTGTATACAGGTGGAATTTTCTCTTGAGTAGCAATTGCAATATCTTTTGCTTCCTGTGCAGTTTGTCGAATCAAGGCAGATTCCTGTAGTAATTTTTCGATAGTCTCTGTGTTGGCATTCACCTTCTGTCCCAAGGTATTAATACTTGCAGTATTTAAATCAATTTTATTTGATGCTTCCACAACTTGTCTATTTGTCTCAACTACTTGCCTATTTGTTTCTGCTACTTGTCTATTTGTCTCAGTTACCTGTTTACTTAGGCTTTCCAAAGATTCATTAATTTTTGCCAGTGCCTGTGCCAAAACTTCTTCTGACGTCATAACTTTTGATTTAGACTGTGGGAGTGGGGCCCCTGATGCTCCGGATGCTCCAGATGTTGAGCCCCTTCGCGGCAACGCAGTATCTATCCGATAATGTCTGCCAGACCTAGTAATTTTTCACTGCGATCCCGCCTTCTTATCCTCTCCAATAACATTCTCATACACATTCCCGCTCTCTCCCACCGTCAACCATTTGTTTTGACATAGAGTGGAATTTTCCTCTTTGTAACTATTGTTGTAACAATGTCCAATCTCCTCTAGGGGACACAGTAACAGCCAGAACTTGTAACTTTTTAGAAACAAAAATAGTCTTTATAAATCCCCCAATTTACTTTCAAAGTCCACAGTCTCAATACATTTAAACAGTTACTTTTAAGCCAAAAGAGGTTCGGAAACACTGTATCACTTTTGCAGAGTTGGCTGTCAGAAATAAACTTTCACTATAGACCTCTATCTTAAGGCAGTCCGTTCCGAATCTTAAATTGTAAATTCTTCCTTCCTCTCCCCTTCTTTACTGCAGGGAAATTCAGCTCAGTCTTTTCCCCCTCCTCTCCTGCAATCCGGAGGGGAACCACTTTCAAGATGTTGGAATTTAGCACATTTAAGTGACTTTCCGAGTTTCCGCTTCGAAGTCTCTTTGCTTTGATCTATTTACAATTCAGGGAAGGTAGACTTCCTGGTTGTACCTTCCCCGCTCCGTGCCAAATTAACTTTTCCCCCCCCTTTAAATCCAATTTACTCCTACTCACGGGTAGTTGTTTTCAGTGCCGATTATCCCAGGAAAAAGGCAGCGCTCTCCGGTAACAGCTTTGCGGCTTCACTCCACGGAAGAAGCAATTTGCTCACAGCACCACGCCACCCCCGCTCCGCTCCGGAGCCCGTTGCCGAGCTCCTTTAGCAATTGGGGGGGCGCAAACGGTGCCCGCTGAGTCCCACGTTCACAGGCTTCACCCGCCTGTGATTTATTTGGGGGTCCCCGCTGCGCCGTAGCGACAGGACCCAAATTCCGTAGAGCTAGTTCTCTCCAAATTAGAGAGAAGCAGCCATTACCGTTGGCTCCACCTCCGGAAGTC